CATAGTCAGATCATCTAAGAGACATTCGTTGCAGGTAAGGTATCATCATCTCTGGGGCATCACAGTTGAATGACCCCACTGATATCTGACAACTGGGAGCAAGTGACTCCAGTTTAAACGTCTGTTTCGGTCTGCCTGGGTATGACACCCTCAGAAAGATAGTTGTACACAACAAATAACAAAGATTATTACCCGTCGAAACTTCATCAGCGAGTGACTTCTTGCTCTTTGTGCGTTGATCAGGTAGAAACGGAATTATACCGGTCACCGCCAGAATAGTTGCTGTCTTTCTGTCTGTGTGTTTCACATTCATGTTTAAGTGGTAGAGGGCATTCGTATTTTGTGAAGGTTTGGCACTAATATGTGTTGGATGAACGATCAGATGTCTCCTCCCCCCGTTGACCAAACACCTCTCCCATCAGTTATTTCGCCTGCATTGACATAGATCTTGCTTTTCCCCATTGCACATTCTATCCAGATAAAATGTTTCGGTACAAAAACGCAAAGTAAGCAAAGTCGGAGTAGTCTTCACCAACTACGAAGCTCCACAATACACACGGTAGCATTTCGAGTGCATCCGGATGAAACTGAACTACCTGTTTACCAAATGTTACGTGACGGTCTAAATCAATCAATCAATCAATCAATCAATCAATCAATCAATCAATCAATCAATCAATCAATCAATCACAGTACATATATGCACGGTAAATGAGGTTTGATAATTTATAAATTTCCCATTTTATGTGGGACAAAAGAAAACGAATATGATGAGACACATGATCTACGGAACCAGATCAGGTTGCAAATGCCCGATGAAAAGCGTCTTTTTCCGGCAGAATACAAATAAATATACGTAGGAACGAGGTGACTAGTAGCCAGTCCCAACAGTTTTAGATAGTCTACTGTTCCTATTTTGAACCATTTGCAAATGTGTGTAGTTGTGTGTGCGAGCTACTCCTTTGTGTTTGGAGTACATGAGTTTGTTGAGATTAGTGGTTCACTGTGCGCTCTTGCAGTGACTGATTCCAAAAACACACGCATAAGGCTTATCCATACAAGCTTTGTGTGGAACTGTAAAGCTGGAATTGATCGATGAACCGTGTACTGTGTCTTGTGCAAAGACGTTCCTGTTACGTTTGTTGAAAATACTTGTCTGGTCTGCGCGTTAGTACCACAAACCCAAAACGGAATGTCTAACACGCCATACTCCGTTCTAGTTGGTTGATCATTCCCTAAACACTCTTCTACTGAGAGAGTCATATAGTCAGTGATAGTCTCAGGGTATAGAGCTGCTGAAAGCCACTCCCAGGGATTGAAGTCGAGTCAAGTCAAATCAAAGTAAGCTTTATGTACCCGAAGAGTGAATTTTCAGCGATGATAATACAGTGGAATTGAGGGAGATGGCATCCGAGTGTGAATAGGTTAAACAAAAACCACAGCAAATTGCAGGCAGGAAGACAATAGTGACAGATAAAAATGAATAAATAAACTAACTCATGGAGTGTTCAACCAAACCTGTAATAATTGGTGACCGATCTACTAAAAAGCGAGCAAGAAAAGGGAGGATGCTGTTTCTGTATGTGACGGTGTGTGCGGGAAGGATTCTATAATGAAAGCGAGTATGGGGGTTTGACGTGGATTTAATAGGCTCGTTGTGATCTTCGTCGTTCATGATTCTGACCGCTATTATTTAAAATGCGTCGATATGTTTGCGCACAATAAAATCAACCAGGACATCTCTGGCTTTGCCACTAGATCGGGATAGGATTTTTATGGACTTGGAAATTAATATGAAATCTTTTTCTTTCATGCCGGGAAAAATACAGGGGAACAACACAGTCAATGAGGGAGGCATTTAAAGATTATGTATGGGGGAACAGTAAGCTTCCTAAGCCTGAAAGGACAAAAATAAAGTTTACGAACTCTGTTGTAAACGTGCTGTACATGTCTGGCCCAGAAGAGATTGTCGGATAGAACGACTCTGAGGTATTTAACAAAGTCAGCTTTTGGAATGCTGTGACTGTTAAATACTAGATCCGGTAAGTAGTTTGATAATAGGGGCCAGATTTAAGGCTGTAAGGAACGTCAACAGATATGGAAACATTAAGCAAGAGTGATCGGGGTAGAGACCAACTAAAAACGACATTCAGACTGCCTTGAAGTTGGTGGGAAAATGCAGCAGTATTAGAGGGGCACCCAATAATCACGTCGTCCGCATACTTGCAGACAATAAAGTTGGTAGGGACAGGCAGGTTGTTTACGTGCAGGAAAAGAAAGAAGGGAGACAAAATGGTGCCCTGGAAGACATCAAAGTTAACATAAGAAGACGATGTCGCTTCACCAGTGCATGAGGTAAATTGCGTCCTAAAAGAGAAGTAGTTTACGGGAACGTTTAACACGTCAGATCCTAAGCCGCAGTCAGTAAGATGTTGAATGAGAATTTGCTTGATTACGTCGGTACCAACATAATTAATCAAATGGTATACGAATTGTA